AAAAAAAAAAAAAAAAAAAAAAAAAAAAAAAAAGAAAGTAAATCCGATCCACGTTATTAGCACTTCTGTAACTGGATATGATCTAAGGTTTTTAATACATTTGGTAATTATTGTATTTGACTATGTTGTCTGAGGTTTAAGGTATTCAAAGTTTCCCAAAAGAATCAACCATATACAAGTTAAAATTAAACCTTATATTTGTAAGGAAATTTAATTAATCCAATTTATTATCTAGGTTTAGATACATAAAAAAATTACTTTTCAAAGTTATTTATCAGAATCAGTATAATACATTCAGCATTAAACAACTAAAAAGAGTATGAATATTTCCACACATAAAAGTCCCTCAGACATTGATTCTTAAAGTTCTGAGCAGTAAATTCAAAGGCACCAAAGGCTAGCTTTTATATGATATATTCTTATATTGTCTAATTATGAAGAAAAATTTTACCTAAATGTATTTTAAATATATTTGTATAAATTATTGTGAATTATATTTTTATTGTCTTTAAAGCTAATTCTTTTTTTCAAACTCAACTTAATTAGTTATATCCTCAATAAGTCCCTTTTAGACAAAAGGAAACAATTCTATTTCATCTAGTTAGAATTTACTTCACCTAATAGAATATACTAAAAAATATTTATTGTGGTCATCTTTGAGTAATAAGATTATAGGTGGTTTTAGTTTTCTTTTCTAAAGTATTTATTTTTTAGGTCTTCTCCAAATTCTTTTTCTTGATTACTTTTAGACTCATGGGAAAAAAATAATTTAGCCTCAAGACATAAGAATTCTTTTGTAGGTATTTTCGTAACTATGTTTTGTTGTTATTTTATTTAGGGGAAAATGGCTTTATTGGCCTCAAATAGCTGCTTTATTAGATGCAATGAAGCAGGTGATATAGAAGCAAAAAGTAAAACAGCAGGAGAAGAAGAAATGATAAAGGTAATCGTGACATTTTTCTATCAACAAATATATGTCACACATATGATGTGACTACATCTCTTTAAAATGTTTGAACAGTCATTTACTATTAAAGATTTATTTCATAACTTTTTATATTCTCCAAATAAGCCTTATTTTTAATTATAAATTCCCAAACTGATGGCTTGTTTATGCCATGTGGTAGAGAAATTACTACATATGTGAGCTACCTTGCTATAATCTCCATGTATTAGTATCTTTTTCTGAATAGTTCCACATGCTTTTTAGGCCTATATTTTCTTTTCTTTTTTGGTTCTTGCCTTGATTTTAAAATTTAATTTTTTGAATAGATGATACAGTCACATGGTTCAAAAATTTTAAAATATATGCATATATAAACATGTTTCCCATCCTTCTACACCCTTCTAGAGATCCTGTATAAAAATATGAATATATTTGTAATTTTTTACTTTTTTACAATAAAGTTAGCTTCCTTTACATACTCTTTTAGACATTGATTTTTTTCCTTAACACTGTATCTTGAAGATTTTTCCTTCTCGTATGTAGAAAGTTTTCTCTCTCCTTTTTTTAATAGCTACATAATATTCCATTTTAGGAACGTACTGTAATTTATTTAATCAGTTCCTTATAAATGGAAATTTAGTTTATTTCTAGTCTTTTGCTATTACAAACAATGCTGCAGCACATAACTTTTAACTATGCACCATTTTGTAGGTGTGAAAGTGTATCTGAGGATAAATTCCCAGAAGCAGAATTACAGGCTCTAGGGGTATAAGCATTTGTAATTTTGTTAGATATGGCCCTCCATAGTAGTTGTACTAACTTAGATTCCTACCAACATGTCTGAGAAGGTTACTAGGTTGTTTTGATTTTGTTTAATACTCAAGCATCTATGTTGCTAGTCACTGTATGAAGTATGACAATCATAGAACTTTCAGAGCTTTAGCCCTCAAATTCTGGGTCTTTTGATGAATAAGTAAAAATCTTCTTTTATTGAGAAAGTCATCTTCATTGAGAAACATGAAGCACATAAAACAAATTGTTTTTTTTTTTTTTTAAAGATTTTTATTGGGGAATTGGGGGGATGGGAACAGTGCTGGGGAATTGGGGAAAGGGGAACAGACAAGTTGCTGTCATTTT